ACAAAAAAAGAAAACGCACACAGTGTGATTCCATTTATACAAATTACCAAAAAAGAAAAAAATGAGCAAAACTAAACTATTTCTTTAACGACATATGCTTAGTGGTAAAAGTATATGAAAAAAGAGAGCAGAGGAGTCTCTTCTGCAAGGGTAGGACAGTGACTGCCCTCGGGGTGCAGGGGCTGGATTGGGGGGACATTGCCTGCTACTCTGTCTGATAGATCAGGAGGGTGCCCCTCTCTCCCTGGATGTCCTGATTCGCAATTTACAATAAATTTCCCAGCGGCCCTTCTCTGGCACCCCCAGGACCTGCCCTCCACGGGCTGTGACTCCCCCTTGCTTGGGGCTGGCTCCCCCAGGTGCTGGCAGCTTTATCTTTGTCCCAACAGAAGGCAGGCTCACGGCCGTCACCTGATGCCGGACAGGTGTCCACACTGGAGCCAAGGAGCTCCGAGGTGGAGCCCCAGCCCTCCAGCCCAGCTCTGAGCTCTGGGGCCAAGACGTCACCTGGGTGTTCACAGGGGCAGCAAAGACCAGCAGTGTGGTGGGGGCATGGGACATCCACGGTCAGGGTTAGAGAGACGGGTGGTTTAGCCCAGAGCGCTCGCATGTCACGGCGTCAGAATCACACGGTGTTGGGGGGCCCACCTCTGATGGGGGCCCTGCCAGCTCCATCCATGAGGGGATCCCAGTCTCTCTCAAGCTCCCCAGGTGTGAGAAATTGCATCTGGGGTCTTTGAATGCTCCCAGTCGGGCATGTTGCCTAGCAGGACAGCTGGACCGGCGACCTTTGTGGGTAGCGACCGCACCCCATCTGCCACACTGTGAACTCGGCAGCGCGCCTCGAGAGGTGAGGAACTGGCCCAGGGCGTGGAGATACAAGCCCGGTCTGCGCCCCCTCCTGGGAACCGTGAGCTCCCTCACGCGCTGAGCCCGTGACTCGGCTGCACGTCTGCGTGACTAAGGACATGGAGGCGGCCGATCCACACGACATCCGTGAGTAAAAGGAACTGGTCTGGACCTGTGGGCGGTGCAGCACGCCACTCACTTCCACAGAGAGCGTGTGCATGGGGAGCAGGTGCTGGAAGGCAAGAGGGGCACGAGGGTCCTTGGGGACAGTACCTTAAGGAGGGGCTTCCACGCCTGGGGGCAGGGCTGCTAGAGCATGGGGCCCAGACCCCTGGGGAGGGTGCCCCATGGGTGCTGGGGTCCCTGGGGTACCCCCATTCCGCCCCCCTGCCCGGGAAGAGTAGTGGGGCAGGGGCTGCCCTCAGCTGCTCAGGGAGGCGGCAGCACGGGGACGAGCCAGAGCGTGCAGAGACCAAGTGACAGACACGGAGTGACGGCCACCAAGTGACAGGACGGCACAGGCTGCCCCAGCAGCAGCAGGTCGGCGGTCTAGGTCCTATCGCCAGGAGAAACATGGTCAGAATATTTCGATACCGTAAAATGAATCTCATGGTCACTGGAAACAAAAATGTTTAAAATGTTTACTTAATAAATATTCAATTTAGTAAAACTTACATGCATTTTTGTTGCAAAGTATTATGGAGAATCTACAGAAACTTTCAAGCATAAAAATATATCACAGCAGGATAAAATTCTGGCTGAAGTTAGACAAGAATAACGAGTTTAAGGAAAATGTTACGATGAAGATTTCCGACTATGAAAAAAAATGTTTATGTGTTTTTTTCTAAATGATTGATAGTGGGTATCAAAACCACTTTGGTTTTTAGGTCCTTGGATATATTTACAGGAGTGACTAACAGCTTTATTTCAAAATGTCAATAATTATACCACGCCAGAAATTACATTCTTTGCAATTACTTACATTTCTTAATTTTTCAAAAATGTAGATGTCGACTTCAAAATGTACACGTGGTGTGACAGCTTCTCAAAATCTCTCAGGGAAAACAGGAGCTTTGAAAACCCATCCTGCACCACTCCCTCCCACCCCACATTCGGCCTGATCTACTGACAGCCGCTGACTGCATGGCAGAAGCCAGGAGAGAGCGTGCCTGGGGTCACGCGTGGCGAGGGCCCAGCCTAGCCTGGAGTACAGCCTCCCTGGTCACTGAGGGCGGCCAGGGGAGGGCTGAGGTCTGAGGCTCGGGGGTGGGCAGGGAGGGCGCTTGGGCTAGGACCTGCTTGGAGACAGAGGGAGGGTCTTGGAGGAGGTGGGGGTGAAGGAGAATGAGTCGACGGGTCAGGGAAGAGCAGCGAGGAGACGGGACTCCGCCAGGTCGCGGCCTTGGTCGTGGAGCTGACCGTGTGTCCAGGAAGCCTCTGCAGGATTCTGCAGCGCTTAAGAGTCCCAGGAAGCAGACCTGCTCACTGGGCATGTGCTGGACGTGCGGGTGGTGGGGAGAGGCTGGCGCAGAGGCCGGGGCGAGCGGGCCCTCGCGGCAGTCTGCTCGTGAGGACTCTTGGCCTGTTTGGAGCTGAGCTTGAAATTAACTTTGAGTGGTGCCCAGGACTGCCTGGACGTCCTTGTCCCATTTGCTCTGGGAAGGTTGGGAGTGCCTGATCTAGACTTGGTCTGATCTCGAAAGTAATGTCACAGTCATGTACCAACACTGACAAGCACCCACCATGCCCGAGGCACCAGGACACAGGGTGCCACGCCCTTCCAGGGAGCAGAGCTTGCCATAAACGCGGGCAAGTGTGCAAACACACAGTGAGACTCACAAAACACCCAGCAGAAGCTTCTGGTCACTCCACTGAACAAGGAAGACCAGTGACCACAAACGCTTTGGGGAAGCAGGCGGGTAGAAGGAAGGGCAATGCGGCCGCTGCCAGGTGCCTCCCTAGGGCTCCCGCCGGCCCCTCCCCACTGGCCCAGGCACCCTGGTCCCTGCTTGACTGAGGAGATGGGACATGCCCACTAAGTGCTTTTAGGCTGTAACGGCCAAAGCTGACTCAGCCGGCATCTACAGCCCATTTGTTCTGTATTTTACCCAAATTGGATGCACCTTTTCCCAAAGTAGACAATGCCATTAGGCCCGGAACCATTGGCGATGACACTGTTCCTTCAGTCAAGGGGTTTGCATGCCACCCCCCAATTCAGTCCTCAGCTCAGACCCCAGGCCCGGTTGCAGGGAGACCTGAGAACCAGGTGATAAAGTCGGCATCCTCCCTTTGGGCCCACAACAGCTGAGACCCCCGGAGGGTGTTTAGGCTGGATGGCGGGTGAGGGGTGTCAAGGCCACACGCAGGCTTCAACAGCCTTCGACGCCAGCCTGGGACGGAGGGAAGGGGCAGCCCCCTGCCCCTGCAGCACAGGGACCCTGCGGGCAGGGCGCTCGGCTCCGTGGACCCAGGGTCTGAGCACAGGATGCAGCTGGAGCCCCGGGGCTCTGGAGCAGGGCCTGCCTCCCTCTGAGACCGGGCGGTGCCCACCGACAGCCCAGGCGCCCATCCTGAGATGGGTCTTCTCCAACCGCTGCTGCCCTCACCTGCCCACCCGCCCACCCTGGCTGCTGCCGCCAGCTCCCAGACAGCCAGACCCACTTCTCTCAGGTGCCTTGGGTGTGCTGCACACGGTGGGGCTGCCGGCACCCCGGCCGCCAGACTGAGGCCTCGCTGCCCACGCTCCTCCCCTGACCGGGTGCTCCTCACCCACCTGGGGTCACATCGCAGGGTCCCTGGGGCCACGAGACCTGAGCCGGGATAGAATTAGTCCCCTGCATCCTCGGACCTGGCAGGACCTGCCGCAAGTCAGCTTCCTTCACCGAGGAGCATTTACGGAGTGGCTGCTGTGAGCCTGGCCGCAGTGCCCACCGTCTTGTGGGAGCTCTGACCCCCTGCTCTGCGCCGGGGGAGGGGGCCCACCCGTCACCCTCCTGCAGAAGACGTGGAGGCTGTGCTGTCTGGCTCTTTGCTTCACTGTGAGGGGGCACCCTCCCTGGATCTCTGCCAGGCTGGGGTAGGTGTGTCCTGCTCTCTGCCCAGCCACAGGCCCTGGCTTGGGGCAAGGCTCGTCCCTGTGCTGAGGAAACCCTGTGAAGGGGTTAGTCACGAACCAGCAGGACTGCCAAATTGAGGGAGAGCTTGTCTGTTCTTTTGCTTCCCTTTCCACACCGAGGAGGCAGCCTGGCAAGGTCTGGATGAAGCTCTAATTATTGGTCCCCCATCCATGGGACCCTAACTCAAGGAAGGGGTAGGCCAGACCCCGACCGCTCAGACGGGTCTTCTCCCTGGACTCTACCCCACTCCGTCCCCCCTGCCCGCCCCCCCCCCCCCCTTCCTGGTCCCTGGGTGCCTGGCCCTCCTGGGCACCTCTGCAGCCGCCCCTCCCCACCTCCTCGCGTGGACTGCGGCAGCCCCGCCCCTGCCGGCGGGGGCAGGGAGCGAGGGTGACAGGGTGGAGGGTGGACCACCCGCCCGGCACTCTCCGCGGGCTGGGCCGCGGCCCTCCCTCCGTGTGCCCACAGAGCCCGCGGCTGCCCGCGACGCACCGCTCAGGAACACCGGCCACAAGGCTGGCCCCGCCCCCAAATGGTGCCAACCGCGTACAGGCCTCCACCCCTCCCCACGCCCCGCAGTGCATCCCCCAGGACAGCGGCCAACGTCCCCGAGGGACAAAGTCCCCAGAACGCCCTTGGAAGCCCCAGTCGCCCCCAATTGCCCGGCAAAGTGAGCACGGCCTTGCGACTACCCCGACCCCAAGTCCCGCGCCCAGGTGCCCCCACCCCGGTCCCCGCTCTGGTGACACTGCGGCAGCGCGAGGGCGGGGCGCACCGGGGGCGGGGCCGGCGTGGGCCGCGGGGGGCGGCGCGGGGGGCGTTACCATGGCGGCCTTGCGCGCGTAGCCATCGCGGCTCGCAGAGCCAGAGCCTGTGCGCGGAGCCGACGGCCGGGGCGCCAAGGCCGCTGGAGGGGCGAGGCCAGGCGGGGGGCGCCGGCCTCGCGTAGATCTCGGGCGGCGGGTGCGCCTCCGGCCGGAGCGCGGCGGCTCAGGCAGCGACTGAGAGTGTGGCGCCGCCGGCGGCGCACGGAGGATGCAGGCCATGGACCCTGCTGCGGCGGATTTTTACGAGGAGGACGGCAAAGACTTAGACTTCTACGACTTCGAGCCGCTCCCCACTCTGCCGGAGGACGAGGTGAGCCCCCGACCCGCGCTGGGACCCCCACCGTTCCCCACGGAGGGGTTCGTGGAGAGTCCCCAGGCCCCCTGCCCCCGGGCCAGGTCCTGGCAGCAGGGGGATACCAAAGCCCTTCTCACCACCAGCACCAGCCTTTAACGTTTTCCCCCAGAGGGGACAGGACTGGGGGATGCCATCTGGGACAGCAGCGGGTGGGCTGTCACTGAAGACGTTGGCACCCTGCGGGGGTGGGCTCCGGATTACAGATGTTGGGGGGATGAGCGTGGGGAGCGCTTAGCCGCAGGACCCGAGCGCTGTATTCCTCCTTGCGGAGACCCTAGGAGGTCAGCGGAAGGCCCTGGCAGCAGAGCCCAGTCAGGCCAGACTGCTCAGGAGCTGGGGGCGGGGGAGGCCTCCATGACTGAGGGCTGATTCCTGCTCATAGAGGACAAAAGTGGCCTTCAGTCAGGAGCCCAAGTCCTGAACCCGCAGCCAGGGTGCAGAGGGGCCAGGGTCTCTGTCACATGGGGCTTCTGGCCATTAACTGGGCCACTTTGCCCGCGACTCTGTCAGAGACGCCTCCACACCCTCCTGGGTTTGTCCCTGTAGCTCTGGCTTCCCTGTAGTGCCCCACAGACTGTGTGTTGGGGTCAAATGAATAAACTCCGTGGCCCTTGAACAAGCCAGTCCCCGCCACACGAGAGGTGACCCCCAGAGGACACAGCTGCTCCCAAGAAGACCCTCTACTCTCCCAAGGCTGGGGGTCTGTGCAGATGCCCTCCCAGCCCCTAGCAGGTACAGGCGCCCATCCGTGGGGTCTGCTGGCACCGTGCGCCCTTAGCAGAGCGCTGTTGCAGTGTTGCCCTCTAAATGACAAGACCCTCCACGTGCCCATCTGGCCAGGCCCACCAGCGAGGCAGACCCGGCTAGCCCCTCCTGGGCTAGAGGGGGTTCATAACAGCTGAAGCTCTGGTCCCCAGGTCCCTCACCCTCAGCTGGCCCCTGCCCACTTCCCCAGAAGAGCTGGTTCTGAGGACAGAGGGGCTCATGCCCTAGAAGCGGTCCTTCTGGTGGCAGAAGTCTGTTGAGGAGGCTGCCGCGGCAGTGCCCTGGGGCGGGGCGGAGGGGGGGGGGTTGCTGCCTCAACCCCCCCACCCCACCCCGTGGCCTGGATTCGGCGAGAGAGAAGGCTGCGGAGAGGAAAGGCAAGGGAATAAAGAACCCTGTGGATATCTCCGTGGCTTTGATGGAGCAAGAAAGGGTGCTCCCAGCCGTCAGCCTTCAAACACTCCCCCCAGAAGGACGCATTTCTAAAGCGTCTGTTGGGAGACTCACGTCCCCCCAGATCACTCTCCAAGGCAGACGCAGAATATGTGGTTCTCCACGTGGGGCCCTCTGCACTGGCTGCCCCACACTTCCAGGGCCTCCTCCGTGCCTGGCACACCGAGCCAGTGACTGATGCCAAATAAACAGGACAAGCAGAGCCGGGATTTGGACCCAAAGCCTCAATCCCGAGCCCACCGTCTGTCCTGCGGCCATGCCCTGAGGCCTCCTCCTGGTAACAGTGTCCCCAGCGCCCCTCGGGGCTGGAGCGGCCCCCAGCCGTGCACAGTGCACGGGGCCGGGGGTCCCCATCATCCTGTGGCCGTCACCTCCAGGTGAAGTGGGACGCCACCTTTGCAGTAGCATCCAGCCGGGAAGCTCGGGGCTCCTCAAACTTCTCGCACCCTCCCTGGCGAGAGAGGCATTGCCTTTGGGTGTGTTCTCGTGAAACAGGAGGAATGTCCCTGCTTCCTGCACACATTGGGTGTGGTTGGTGTTGAAGGTTTTAAATCCCCGCCAGGGACATGTGACTGCCTAGCACAGCGTTGTGTAGTCAGGTTGTATCCGAAAAGCCATCCTGCGTGAGAGGAAGGAGGGCCATGCGGAGGAGCCCCCGGAGGGAACCGTGGCCAGGGACAGCGGGCAGCTTCCAGGGAGGGATGGTGGGTGCCAGACCCAGGACTGTACAAGCCACATGAGACACAGGCATTTGCTGGTTATACAGCTAATTATATCAACTGACCACAGTGAGCTCAGGAAATAGAACCCTGTGGACACCACCCCGCAGGAGCCCCTGGAACGTCCATGCCCTGTTGTGTGTGACCCCAGAGAAAATCCAAATTGCTGGTGGACATATGAGAAAATGTTTGACTTTATTATTATCAGGCAACACAAAATACACTCACTGCAAAAACCTTCCCACAAGCGCCAGGTTGGCGAGAACCAGAAAGCTGGACGGTGGCCCGAGTTGGCGGGGAATGGGTGGTAGCGGCCCTGCCCCTCTGCCAGGGTGTAGGGGGGATGGAGTGGACCAGCCTCTTTGGAAAACAGTTTGGCATCCGGTAGTGGGTGGGGATGCCTGCACTTGTGTCCCAGCAACTTCAGTCTGGACACCTGCCCCAGAGACACATGACCCATGGGCGACGCATGAGCACGAGAACTCAGGGCCAGAGACCACCCGGGGGGCGTGCTGAGGGGGCCGGCACCGCCCAGCAAGGTCCTGGCGGTCACAGCCCGCCCGGTCCCTGGCCACCTGCAGGCAGCACCACTGCATCGGTACAAGCTAAGGCCGGGGTGCGGATCAGGCAGACCCCAGGTCATCGGGAGGCAGGCGGTGCCACTGGCCTGCAGGGGCCTTCGGGGGGCAGGGCGTCTTCCAGACCCCAGACTCCCCCAAGGGATAAGGAGTCCAGCGCGGCATCTCTCCATCATCTGTGGGCCGGGAGCTGGGCTGGGCCTGGGGATCTGAAAGCAGGTGGGGAGCATTTGAAATATGCAGAATGACCCATGGGTCCTGTGGCCCCACATGGCCCTGGCTCACAGTCTGCGTCTGTGGGGCAGAAGCTCCTGCATGGCTGGCGTGTTGCCGTCACTGGACAGTGGCCCGCGGCAGGAAGCCAGCACTGCCCTGTAGGACCCAGACTGGCGACAGGGGCTGCCTTGGGAAGCCGCGTCCCTGGGGGGGGGGGGGGGGGGGGGGGGTTGCTGCCTCAACCCCCCCACCCCACCCCGTGGCCTGGATTCGGCGAGAGAGAAGGCTGCGGAGAGGAAAGGCAAGGGAATAAAGAACCCTGTGGATATCTCCGTGGCTTTGATGGAGCAAGAAAGGGTGCTCCCAGCCGTCAGCCTTCAAACACTCCCCCCAGAAGGACGCATTTCTAAAGCGTCTGTTGGGAGACTCACGTCCCCCCAGATCACTCTCCAAGGCAGACGCAGAATATGTGGTTCTCCACGTGGGGCCCTCTGCACTGGCTGCCCCACACTTCCAGGGCCTCCTCCGTGCCTGGCACACCGAGCCAGTGACTGATGCCAAATAAACAGGACAAGCAGAGCCGGGATTTGGACCCAAAGCCTCAATCCCGAGCCCACCGTCTGTCCTGCGGCCATGCCCTGAGGCCTCCTCCTGGTAACAGTGTCCCCAGCGCCCCTCGGGGCTGGAGCGGCCCCCAGCCGTGCACAGTGCACGGGGCCGGGGGTCCCCATCATCCTGTGGCCGTCACCTCCAGGTGAAGTGGGACGCCACCTTTGCAGTAGCATCCAGCCGGGAAGCTCGGGGCTCCTCAAACTTCTCGCACCCTCCCTGGCGAGAGAGGCATTGCCTTTGGGTGTGTTCTCGTGAAACAGGAGGAATGTCCCTGCTTCCTGCACACATTGGGTGTGGTTGGTGTTGAAGGTTTTAAATCCCCGCCAGGGACATGTGACTGCCTAGCACAGCGTTGTGTAGTCAGGTTGTATCCGAAAAGCCATCCTGCGTGAGAGGAAGGAGGGCCATGCGGAGGAGCCCCCGGAGGGAACCGTGGCCAGGGACAGCGGGCAGCTTCCAGGGAGGGATGGTGGGTGCCAGACCCAGGACTGTACAAGCCACATGAGACACAGGCATTTGCTGGTTATACAGCTAATTATATCAACTGACCACAGTGAGCTCAGGAAATAGAACCCTGTGGACACCACCCCGCAGGAGCCCCTGGAACGTCCATGCCCTGTTGTGTGTGACCCCAGAGAAAATCCAAATTGCTGGTGGACATATGAGAAAATGTTTGACTTTATTATTATCAGGCAACACAAAATACACTCACTGCAAAAACCTTCCCACAAGCGCCAGGTTGGCGAGAACCAGAAAGCTGGACGGTGGCCCGAGTTGGCGGGGAATGGGTGGTAGCGGCCCTGCCCCTCTGCCAGGGTGTAGGGGGGATGGAGTGGACCAGCCTCTTTGGAAAACAGTTTGGCATCCGGTAGTGGGTGGGGATGCCTGCACTTGTGTCCCAGCAACTTCAGTCTGGACACCTGCCCCAGAGACACATGACCCATGGGCGACGCATGAGCACGAGAACTCAGGGCCAGAGACCACCCGGGGGGCGTGCTGAGGGGGCCGGCACCGCCCAGCAAGGTCCTGGCGGTCACAGCCCGCCCGGTCCCTGGCCACCTGCAGGCAGCACCACTGCATCGGTACAAGCTAAGGCCGGGGTGCGGATCAGGCAGACCCCAGGTCATCGGGAGGCAGGCGGTGCCACTGGCCTGCAGGGGCCTTCGGGGGGCAGGGCGTCTTCCAGACCCCAGACTCCCCCAAGGGATAAGGAGTCCAGCGCGGCATCTCTCCATCATCTGTGGGCCGGGAGCTGGGCTGGGCCTGGGGATCTGAAAGCAGGTGGGGAGCATTTGAAATATGCAGAATGACCCATGGGTCCTGTGGCCCCACATGGCCCTGGCTCACAGTCTGCGTCTGTGGGGCAGAAGCTCCTGCATGGCTGGCGTGTTGCCGTCACTGGACAGTGGCCCGCGGCAGGAAGCCAGCACTGCCCTGTAGGACCCAGACTGGCGACAGGGGCTGCCTTGGGAAGCCGCGTCCTCTTGCCTCCCAAGCCCCCCTCCCAGCCAGGATGGGGGTTGAGTCTGTGCCCACACAATTGCAAGGGGGGCCCTCTTTCCTGCCCTGGGTGGTCTCCCCCTCAGATCTCCCCCCAGAGCCCACCCAGGCAGCGCCTCGCTGGGCAGTAGTGAGGGGTGAGGTGTGAGCTCCAGTAGGCTTTCTGGGTCTGCCTGGAAGGCTGGCTCTATACCCAGGAGATGGAGCTGGCTGGCAATGACCAGGTCAGGCCGCGTGGGCAGTGGCAGGAGGGAAGTCTCCCCAAGCCTGCAGCAGCCCCTGGTGGGTGCCCAGAGGCGAGGCTGGAGCACAGGCGTCTGGAGGAGCCTCGCTGGCTTTTCTGTTCGTAGCATGTCACCCCGCGCGCGCACGCGCGCGCGCGCACACACACACACACACACACACACACACACGTCTGTCTCGGCCCATGAAGCCCCTGCCAGCCTCCAGGCACCATCCCCTTGAGTGTGGATCGGGGCCTCATGGCATGAGGTAATGAGCTGCCCCTCTGGGAAGAGCACAGGCTCCCATCTATCAGGGCTGGAATTTGGGGGCGGGTGGTGGACTGAGGGGGCCTAAATGGCCAACACCTGCTTCCCGGTCTCTCCCTCTCCTTGTCTTTGGCCCATCAGCCAAGGCGGCCCAGCACCCCCGCCTGCCCTACTTGAGCTGTGGATTCAGGCAAGGAAGGGTCATTCTTCCTGCCTGGGCCAGAGCAGAATGGACCAGGGGGACGGGCTGCGGGTCCCAGAGGGAGGTGACCGTGGGCGCAGTGTACGGGATCCGTCATCATGTGGCAAGACCTGCCCTGGGTGTGTTGGGGGCCTGCAGTGTCCCTCGGTGCTGTCCTGGAACTTGCTTCAGCTGAATCTCGCCTTCCCGTTGTAACAGTGGGGTTTCAGAGGAGCTAAGACCAGTGAATGAAGGCATTAGCCACACGGAAGCAATGACTCAGGACCCATGGAAGTTACCCCATAGAGTCACGCAGAGAATCCCCCCAGCAGGAGCTCCCCTCAGTAGGTGCTCTCCCCAGCAGGTGCTCCTCATGAATGGGTGCAGGTCTCCAGCTTCCCCAAGGAGTTTCCACCTCACCAGGGCATCTTTCCACTGGGCAGGGGCAGCAGAGGCCTGGGCCTGAGCAGGAAGCCGTGCCATGGTTCTGCCCTGGGCTCCCATCTCCTGGCAGCACATCTGTCACAGCTGCGTGCCAACAGCCAGTGGAGAGTCAGCGAGGCCGCTGTAGTGGGACTGGCTCACTCACCCTCCTAAATAACCAAGCCCACGGGGTCCTCAGGCTGTTCACTGTGCAGGCCTCTGTGTGTACGTGTGCATGTGTGTGCGTGTGTGCACACTGTGCCCAGGTGTCTCTCTAACCAGGCCTCGCGGGCATCCCTGGGAGCCTCGGGCTCTCCTGAGTCGTGAGGGGTCCTGGGTGGGGCAGAGAGGCCCCCAGGTAGAGCCAAATCAGGAAGACCTTTTATCAGCGAACCCGGGGAACCCAGCCGGGAGATTTGGAAGCTGAGGTTTCTGGTTCACGAGCCTCTCTGCCGCCCCAGTCTAATCGTGTGCTCTGCTTTTTGCTATGCCCCGTCCACCCTCCTCCCACGGTCAGTACAATACGGGAGCCCAGCAAGGGGCTTTCTGCTCTCAGAGCTGCCTTTTCCTCATCCATCTTAACCACCACCCCGCAAGAGAAAGAGCTGGGAGGGCCCAGGAGGATGTCATTGAGCCCCTCCCTGAACTGAGAAGGAACAGACGTGGGATGAGCCTAGTCACACGGGCGGACCTGCCGCATACCCCTCCTGTGGCCCCCCTCCGCCGCCCCGCACACCACACGCTGCTTGGCCAGACACACACACAGCGGCTCCTCACGCTGCTGCTTTCGTTCTGAGTTTAAACCCTTCATCTCCTTTGCTGTGGTCAAGGCCCCCGTGCAGTACAGGTGGGAGAAGTTCGAGGGCAGGAGATGGTAGGCTCCTTTTAGGACCCGGCAGCTTGGCTACACGTGAGAACATCCTGTGTGCTGGAAGGATGGAGCAAGGAGGCTGGAGGGAGAGCTAGGTGCGGGGGGCGGAAGCAGGGGCACCTCTCTTCTGTAGCACCCCCAACTCACGCCGACCCTCCCCCAACTCACCCCAACCCTACCCCCTCTCACCCCGACCTCCACCCCTATCTCACCCCGACCCTCCACTCGCAACTCGCAACTCTCCCTGAGTCTTTGCCCTGCCCTCCGAGTCGGGTGTCCAGGACCTTTCCTGACCCTCCGGCCTGCTGCCCCAGGCCCCGGCTCCCATCCTGGCTCCCTCAGTCCCCTCCCCTCCTTAGGCTGGTGGTGCGTGAACACGCAAATACACGGAGCTAACAATGGGTGTCAAACAATGGGCAGAAAAGGGCTGTGAGGTACAGGGTGTCTGATGTGTGAGCCTGTGTATTGTGTGCACCCATTGATGAATGTGTTTGTGCATGTGTGACTTGTGTGAATACATGTGGGCACGTGTGTGGATGTGTGGGTTTTGCATGCCTGTGCATCAAAGTTAGTAAGTAAATGTGTGAGAGCTGTGTGCACGTTGGTGTGGGCCCGTCTATGCACACACACAGCTGACAGATTGTGTTAGCACGCTCTGTGCACACACGTGTGTGTGAGTGAGTGTGGGTGGCACAACCACAGCTGAGTCAGACCTGGAGGTGGAGCCCGCTGTGTGGGCGGCCTCGGAGTCTAGCTGTGCAGGAGCCACATGACTGTGTCCTCCACGTGCACCACCTGGAGCCGTTGTCCAGGCGGCTCTGCAGCCGTGGTGTCATGAGCATGTTCTCGCGTGTCCTGTGACTGTCGTAGGCTCACGTCACGTTCATTGGCTGGCGGCTCCCCGCGCACAGCTGTGCCTTCGTGGCAACAGCTCCATCTTCCCTCACCTGCTCGCAGGCTGAAAAGGTGAGGCTCCCTGCGTGCCCACCAAGGTCTATGTGCTGAGCCCGGGGGGCCGGGCCAACGGCAGGGGGCCGGGCCAACGGCGGGGGGCTGCACAGTCTGGGACGAAGGGCAGACTGGGCAAACACCTGCTCCAGCAGCAGCTGACGGTGCAGCGCATGCTCTGCGGCTCCTGACCTCCGGGAACCGTGGGATGTCGTCTGGTGGGGTTTCTTGAGATGTTGCCGAAAACCTCGTTCCCGACATAGAATGAAACGTTGCGGCGTGGCGTCTGCTTCCCGGGAGCTGTCTGGACGTTGGGGGCCGCGGTCTCCAGGCCCGCTGCCCCTCTGCCGGCGCCCGCAGCTCAGCCCAGGCCTGTCTTGCAGGAGAACGTGTCCCTGGCCGACATCCTCTCCCTGCGGGACAGCGGTCTCAGCGAGCGGGAGGCCTGGGCCGTGTGCCTGGAGTGCAGCCTGTCCATGAGGAGCGTCGCGCACTCGGCCATCTTCCAGACCCTGTGCATTACACCCGACACCCTGGCCTTCAACACCAGCGGGAACGTGTGCTTCATGGAGCAGCTCAGCGGTGAGGCCTGGGTGGGCGCCCACAGGGGAACGTGAGCGCAGAGTCGAGCGGACGCGGGCCCTCCCTGGGCCGCTGGTCCGGGAGCCAGGTTTCCATGGTAACCTGCTGGTACCTCCACCCCTCCCCACTGTTGTGGGGCTCGGGACGCGCTGGTTCTCACAGCTCCCCATCCCAGGAGAGCCTGGAGGCCTGTCTTCCCCAGTGACCCGGGTGGGAGGCAGTGGGAACGGAGGGTCGCCGTGTGACCCGGCGCCTTCTCTCCCCTTCCCAGACGACCCCGAGGGAGCCTTTGTCCCCCCGGAGTTCGATGTGACTGGGAACACCTTTGAGGTAAGTGGCAGCAGGCGGGCCAGTGCCCGGTCCCCCTCCGACCGTCACCTGGCGGCAGTGAGCGCCTGCGGTCGGCATGCCCACCTCTGTCCCCTCGGGTCCCCAGCGACTTGGCCGCAGCCGCACGCTTCTCACTATAGCGCGTAGCATGTTGTCTGAGTGCGAATTTACTATATTTAAGATGTTAAAAGCGTCTGAAATTACCAGTGGTGACTGACGGGGGTCACAGCTCCTCTGAGGGATTGGCAGGGGCAGTTCACGGCCCCGGAGAATCACCCACGAGAGTGAGAGGCAGCCACGCCTAGGACAAGACCAAGGTCACCGAGGCCTCCAGGGCCCCTGGGCACCCCCAGTGCAGCGAGGTGGGCAGGGGACCTAGAGAAGGGAGGGGGCCCGCTCGTGCTGCTTTTTTCCACTTTCTAAAAAGAGTCTCCTGCTGTGTCTTAGCTTCTGGAACTTCCTTTTATGTGATTTCCCTAGACTCCTCCGTACTGGGTGTCATGACCTTCGTGGGGGGAGGCCTGGCGGGGTCAGCGCTGCTCCGCGTGGCCTCCATGTGTCCAGCGAGAGCTACCAGCGGGCCGGCAGGGTCACTTGCAGAGCAGGGCAGCTCTATCCTGCGGGGCTGCCTGAGGTGCGCTCCCACCACCGCCCAGAGACCCCTCACACCCCCTCCTGCGGGATCGGTTCCGCCAGGATTGCCAGGGGTTGCGTTCCTGTCGGTCAGGACAGTGGGCTTGCAGGTGGTGGGGTGGGGATCCCCTCTGTGGGAGAGCCCATTTCTATCCAGTTGCTCAGCTTTTCTCCCTGTATTTTCGTCCGTTTTGTCAGGACTGCAAATGCCATGTCCACCTTGTGTCTCACTTCCTTGAAGGCAGCGGTTCTCAAACTTTTTGGTTCTTGGAACCCTTTATACTCCTAAAAATCACTGAATGCCCAAAGAGCTTTGTTTGTGTGAGTTATATCTGCCAATACTCACTGTATTACAGGTTAAAACGGAGAAATGCGTAAAATTACCTATTAATTCATTCAGTGACAACCGTAAACCCATTGCATGTTAGCACATATAATATACTTTCATGAGAAATGACAGTATTCCCCTCCAAAAAAAACAGTGAGGAGGGTGGCATCGCTTTACATGTTTGTAAATCTCTTGAATGCCCGGCTCAGCAGAGGCCTGGGTTCTCACGGCCGCGTCTGCGTCCAGTCTCCTGTGACAGCACAGGCCCGCGGCCCTGGCAGCCTCCATGGCCTGTTGCTGGGAAATTGTTTGGCCTCTGGAACCACGCTTTGAGAAAAGCTGCCTGAAGGCATTCTCTGATGGAAAAAAAAGTTTCTCATTTCTAATATAGTCCAATTATTGGTGTTTTCTTTCACTGTGTTTTTTTGTGCCTTAAGAAACCTTGCCAGCCTCCAGATCCACAGATACTTACTGACATTTTCTACCAAGAGTTTTAAAGTTTTGTTATTCACATTTAATCTGCCTGAGGCTGATTTTTTTTTAAATATTTATTTATTTATTTGTCTGTGCCGGGTCTTTAGTTGCGACCCGTCTTTTAGTTGCAGGATCTTTAGTTGCAGCATGTGGGATCTAGTTCCCTAACCAGGGATCGAATCAAACCCGGGCCCCCGGCATTGGGAGCGTGGATTCTTAACCACTGGACCTGCAGGGCCAGTCCCGAGGTGGATTTGTAATGTATGTGAGGCAAGGATCCAAGTTCATTTTTCTATATGGATAACCATTGCTCCCAGCTGTTAGTTGGCTGGCCCCGGTACACGCCACCTAAGCCATATACATCCCAGTTTCGGACAAAAATGGGTCTGCTTCCCGGGCCTCTGCCCTAGTCCATGGCGGTCTGCCCACCGCTGCACTAAAGCTGCGTTTATTGACCCCAGCTCCGCCACGAGCCCAGCATCTCACAGCGAACGTGCCCGGTCCCTGTTCTTTTCAGAAGCGTTCTGACTATTCTTAACTCTTTATTCTTCCACATAAATTTGAGAATTAGTATCAAGTTCCAGGAAAGCTCTGTTGGCATTTTGACTAGAGTGGCTCTGAATGTGCAGATGAGTTTGGGGAGAATTCACGCGCCTATAGTGTGTTGTACATGCAATAGCTCTCCATTTAGTTAGCTCTCGTTTACTGTCTCAGTAACATTTTAAAACCTTTATTGTAAGTTTTACTTGGATATCCTTTACTAGTTCATTCTCAGGAATGAGATATTTTCTGATTCTATTCTAAATGGGTGGTCATCTTTCTAATCACATTTTTTTGCTTTTGGGGGCAAGTCTACAGAAATGCAGTTCGCTTTAACATCTTAATCTTACATCAGCCATCTTGGTAAATTCTTTTATTATTTCTGATAACTTATAGTAGAGTCTTTTAGTTTCTCTATGTAACTGATCAAATCACTAGCAGAAGGTGGCAGGCAGTGTTGATACCGCTGTCCAAGGGCTTGGTGCCGGGTGCCCCTTCCAAGTGTCCGGAGTGGGCCTGGAGCAGCACTGTGACAGGGTCAGTGATTTCTCCACGATCCTAAGAGAGCTCTTCCCACCTCCCCACCCTGGATGACATTTGCAGCGGCCCCCTGAAGTCGCCACTGTGCCAGAGGGATGGAGTTCTATCAGGAAATGCTTCTGCGTACTTTGAAACGATCATCAAGATGTTAATCTCTCCCTTTTTTATTTTCTAGCATTAAATCAACCTTTCCTACTTAGATAAACCCAAACTGACTGTGTCCTGTTTTGTCTTTACTCTGTTGCATTTGATTGACTAATGCCTGCTTTGGGTCTCTGTGTATTTTTCTCGAGTGGGCTGGTAGTTTTCCATTCGGTTGATGTTTTTTGTTTGTTTGTTTTGCGGTCCGCGGGCCTCTCACTGTTGTGGCCTCTCCCATTGCGGAGCACAGGCTCCGGACGCGCAGGCTCAGCGGCCATGGCTCACGGGCCCAGCCGCTCTGCGGCACTTGGGATCTTCCCGGACCGGGGCACGAACCTGCGTCTCCTGCATCGGCAGGCGGACGCTCAACCACTGCGCCACCAGGGAAGCCCTCTGTTGATGTTTTTGACTCGTGTGAGCCCTCAGGACTATCCTGGCTGTATGTATATGCCCCTGCTTCCTTTGCCGTGTAATAGTTTATGTAAGAATGGGATGGTCTGTTCCTTCAAAGTCTGGTCAAACTTACTTATGAAGCCATCTGTTTCCTTGGAGCAAAGATTTTTAATTGCTGCTCTATTTTTAATAATTATAGGATATATCTGTTTTGTATTTCTTATTGAGTCAGCTTCTTGGTAAACCATATGTTTCTAAAAATTTACCCATTGTTACCTGTGTTTTTAAAGTTGCAGGTGAGGTCCTTTCTGAATCACTGCATCATCGTAGGTGCCCTGTTCCACTCCTTGGATAATTTATTTGTACTTTCTCTTGCCAGCCTTGCCGAGGGGGTGGGGTTATATATTTTCTTAGTTTTGTCAACAGAAATAATCAATAACAATTCATAATAG